ATTAAATGATTCATCGATATTTAGTATAAGTTGAGCTATACCAAGCATTAAATCATTTCTATCATATATATTGCTAAATTCTTTATATTTAGTCATGTTTTGGTTTAGCTAAAAATAGTTATATGAATTTAAGTGAAAATAAAAAATTAATTTTGATCATGTATATCATGGAATTCACAATATATATCAACTTTTTAACCATATAATTCAAGAATTTTTTTTTGGGTCAAAACAGGGGTTTAGTAAATTTTCTTTTATATACTCAAGGGACATATATAATTCAAAATAGAATTATTATTTATGCATTATTTTAAGTGAGTGTATTTAATTGAGACTTTTAAAAACTTTTAGGCCATGTTTGATTGGTCTTGAATCCTATGGAAAATGGAAAATGAATTACATTTTTCAACTTTTTTGGTGTTTGATAGGACATTTTTTCATGGAATTGATTTCCTTGTTTGTCTTGAAAATTGTGATTTTCTTGGTTTTCCTTTCCAATCCACTGTTCACATTTTTATTTTTATTTTTTTGTAATGGAAACAAATTCTAAAAATTATTGTAAAAAAATATTTCCTTTTAATTGACAATTGCCATGTAAAACAAAGTTAAACGAATACCAAAAGATAGATGATTTTCTCGATTTTTTTTTTTGGTAATGGAAACAAATTTTATCCCTTTAATTAACAATTTTCATGTAAAATAAAGCCAAACAAATATCAAAAAAACTTTTATTTTAACATTTTCCACGTGGAAAATTATATCAGTCAAACACAATAATTTACAATTCTTAGGAAAACAGTTTCTAGACAATTCAATTCCCCGAAATTCGTTTTCAATTCAATTCAATTCCCTAAAATTCGTTCTTTGCAATCAAATGGACCCTTACTATTATTTTCTCTTGTATCGATTGTATTCGTTCTCTACTCTCTATCTCTCTCTTTAATCATTTTTCCATTATTTACTTTGAAGAAAGATCAAGTTGTAACTAAAAGAATTCTTAAGGTGCTTTCGACCGACAATATTTTTCACTTAAATTTCTACTTTTATGCTGTTTAATTGACATTTTTTTCATGAAAAATATTCTCATACTTTTAATCACGTGATCATATTTTCCTCAAAATTAAGGAAAATATTTTCTTTAGAAAGAGTGAAATTTATTTTTCAGAGAATTCATTTTATCTTTCTCTCTCTCATCTACTCACTAATAAAAAATGGACAAATATACCATTTTTTAAATTTAAAATTAAATCGGTCAAATACATTTAATTGATAATTTCATGCAAATAAGTTCTAAGCAATTGAACTGCCAAGAATTTATTTCCTTTCTATGCAAATTACATGCTTGTAATTAAACGTGCCCTAAATGTTTCCCGCTTTTCTTTTTCATCGAACTTGTATAGGGGATGAGGAAGGGATGGTAGAGATCGAACCTCCAACTCTTATGTGAGAAATTCTACTATATTTTAAATGGAAGGTTTCAAATATAAGATAAATTCTTAAAAAAAAAAAAAAATTATAATAGAAGTAAGTCCATGAAAGATTTTTTTAGTAATTTCATACAAATATGTAAAGGTCTATAAATTCTACAAAAAATGCATCACCTGAGAAGGGGTGTAAAAGTTACACCTCGTTAGTATACTAAAATTAAAAATTTTATAATCCAAAATAAGTTTGTTAGTTTATCAAATATTTATTTATTGATATTTTACTATATTGTATTAATAAACAAGCAAACATATTTAACCTCTGTTTGGTTTAGCTAAAAATCATATTTTAGTAGATTTTGAGATTAAAAGTTGTAAATTTCATAAAATGTAAGTGATTAAAAATAAGTTTGAAAAAATGAATTTAAAAAAAATACAAATTAACTTAATTGTTCATTTCTCTTTAATATAGTTGGAAATCTCGCTTTCTAGCCAAAGTTGTGAACTTGAAATATAGCCAAAATGTCAACATCTTTAATATAATACATAACGATTTTCCATTTTTTTTATGATTGCCAAGGCTCATAATCTGACAATAATGATATTTAATATAAGCTAAGTTATACTAAGCATCGGCGTGACTGAATTATTTCTCTTATTTGTATTGCTAGCTTTTATATATATTTAGACGATATTTTGGTTTAGCTACAAAAGATGATAAAAATTTAAGTAAAAGTAATTAAATTTAATCGCACAAATCATGAACAATAATATATATCAACTTTTTAATCATATAATTCAACAACTTTTATCAAGATCTACTAAAATCTATTTTTTAGCTAATCAAACAAGGGCTTAATTACTTATTCTTTCATATACTAATAGGAACTATATGATTCAAAAGTAAATTATTATCTTATACATTTAACAAGATTATTAATTTAGGGGTTGTATTAAATTGGAACCATTAAAGACCTTAAAAAATTAAAGTGTAGGAGTATTCAACATAAATTTTTTAAAACTCTCTAAAAGTATTGTTTTATTAAAATCGTTTGAAACTTTTTAGAAATCTCTATAAGTCATGTGGTATTCAAAATGTTAACGGCTTTTAATTTTTTATAATTAAAATTCTCTATGTTACTAATATTTAAGTAGAAGATACAAAAATAAAATCTCAAATTTTGTCTCTCATTCACCCAAAATTTTGGAAGACTTTCACAAAAGAATTTTTTTATATGTAGCTTTTTTCTCTTTCAATATTCTCTTCCCTTTTTTCCTTTAAGAACCTGAGAATCATGATTAAAAAAAAAAATACTATTATAAAACAAGACTAATTTATGATTGAATTTTGAATATATTGATTGTTTGTTTACTTTATGAAGGTTTGACATAATGATAAATTTTGACATTATTTATTTATTTTAGGGAGGGGATGGGATGGCGGGGATTGAACCTCCATCTCCTAGTGGGAACTTTCTACTCGTACCCTAGATTCAAGTGAATTCCATTTTAAATGTAAGTTTTCAGAAGTGACCAATTCTATACAATACTTATAATAGAAGTTTATAGAAGTTTGCAAAAGATTTTCATTAACTCCATCCATATCTAAAAATGACTATTAACTTTACAAAACTCCTTCATTGAAAAAAAATCTATAAAAATCTTTAAAACTAACAATTGAATACACCCTTTAGTATACCAGCCTGAGTTGTAGCTGGAAAATTTATTATAAGAAACAAGGTTACTAATTTATCAAATATTCATTTATTATTGAGATTTTACAAGCAAACAAATTTACTTTTGTTTGGCTTAATTAAAAATCAGATTTGTAGTATATTTTCATAAAAGTTGATAAAATATATAATTGAAAAGTTGATAAAAATTATGAATGTCATAAAATGTGTGGTTTAAAATGAGTTTCTACGAAAAGTTTCGTTAATTTCATACAAATTTATAAAAGTCTATGAATTATACAAAAATTCATCACTTTAAAAAATATATAAAAGTTTTTAAACATTACAATTGAATACACCTCCTTAATATGCTTGTTTGAGTTTGGTTTTACTAGAAATCATATTTTTAATATATTTTAATAAAAATTGACGAATACGTGGTTGAAAAGTTGAGAAAATTCGTTAGTTTCATGAAATGTATATAATTGAAAAAGAGTTTGAGGAAAAGTGAAATTTAGAAAATGGGAGTTAAATGTGAGCTTAAAAGATCATCTCTCAAATATAGTAGGGAATCTTGATTGCCAGCCAAAATTAAGTTTTGAACTTGAAATATAGCCAATTTTGGGTACCTCTACAAAAGTGAATACTTTTTATATTCAAATATATATACATATATAATGCTGGTCCTAGGTTTACTTAAACTTTGTGACTCATCATCTCATAACTAAAGAACTCGAACAAAATAACAAGAAAATAAGACACAAATTTTTTTTTTTTGATCAACTGCCCCGGAGGTTCCACGCCTAGTCCCTCGTTGAATATCTATTAGGATTAAGCTCGAATCCACTAACACTAGCCAAAATAGGCAAAGTTTCAATTACAAGAACACGAAGATCTCAAATCTCTTGCAATATACAATATCTTCTAAAACAATGCAAACTCACACAAGAGTTTCACTCGTATTTTCCCCTCAAATAACACTCAGAATTTCAAATAGAATAATCAAGAACACACAGAGAAGATAAAATGCATGAGAGGAAGACTGCTAGAATATTACAAAATGAAATTCTAAGGTCCTATGAATTTAATGATTCACCAATTCATTTACGTGTTTTATCATCGGTGCTTAACATATGTTTATGTTAAGCACCAGTTCTTGCGCGGTCAAGAATCTTAAGTACACACAGTTGATGTACAAATCTCAGGAAATGATAATAGTTTTAGAGAAATGTGCAACATGATTTTATCTAATTAACATTACATATTAAAGAAACAACACAAGGTATATATATACACACACAAACACACAACAATCTTATATACACAACAAATAAGCCACAATGCACAAAAATTTTGAGTATTAATGAGGTACGCATGTTTTATGCTAGGAAAGTGCTATGTGTACACAATGATATATACAAAGCATTACATTACACCCCCTCACATGAAGGAGACTCACATACAATAAAATATTCGTGAACCCCCTCCCCCCCCCCCCCCCCCCCCCAAAATATTCTTGAAAACCCCTTCCCTCATGTGAGGAGGTGTAATTTATTGTGTACACTATGAGGTATACACATAGAATAATCATTTATGCTATAGTAAATATGACAGAGAGCTTGTTCAAAACTTACCAGCACCAAAAAATTTGAAGTCACAGAGAAAATTTTAACTACGAGTTGGAAAATAATCATTCATAAGTCGGAACGTAATGAAAAAATATTTAAATGGGACCAAGTTGAAAAGGAGTAAAGGGTATTTTAGGCACTAGAAAAAAAGACTTACCGTCAAAGTAACCTTTTTTCTTACAAAGAATAGAGAGTACTATATCCAAAGATGTTTAGAAGCAAAATTTACTTATAAATAAGTTCTTAGTAAAAATTTTAAGCTTAGACAAACATGCTCTAAAAAAATTAGATAACAGTAGGAATTGAAATCATCAAAGCAAGAACACTACATAAAGTATAACTACGTATACAGAAAATTCATCACAACTTACATCTATCCTTTTACAGTTCCAAAACTCAACTAAAGATCAACAAGAAATTTTGCTTGCAGTTAGGCCTAACAATGATCGTCAGATATCGTCTCTTCGGACGAGGCATCACTGTGGATGACGATCAAATCCTCTTGGTTATTATCGGATGGTTTCGTCTTCCCACATCTTGTAATCAGTGGTAAATTGGTTAAATGAGATCTACCACCTGTTTGTAGCTCAGATTTACCTGAGATGTGCTTGTTATTCAACCTGTTCCTTGCTTGTTGATGACAGAGATTAGAGTCGAAATATGGCTGTCTAAACAACTGCATTCCGGGATGAGAAGTAGACGAATCAAACGAAGTTGGGACTGTGTCAGGTGGCCTTGGAGGGATGGCAACTGCTTCTCTTAGCCATGGCGGTAAACTATAATCTTTCACAGCCATGCTCGTCATGGGACCCATATGCAACGAAGATTCAGCACCTGCTACTGCATAACTATAGGACAGAAAGGTCCTCGAGTCTGTAACTGGTTTCTGAAGTAGCCCATTATGTTGAATATGGATGAAATCCATTGATGATATTTTCTCAACACTATCCTCATACCTGGAAGGTACATCTCCAAGTGAAAGCTGGACATCATCGGATGGATGTTTTATTTTAGGATATGAAAAGTGCTTCATACTGTATGACAAATCATCCGGGGTACTGGCATATTTCGATTGGGAAAAGGGCATGCCATACACAAGTTTGGATTGATCTTCATCCCACCTCTCAGCCAAGTCCTTCGGCGTCCTCCAGGGAAAGAAACGCAGTCTCGGATCCTTCAACATCGCGTCCCAATTACCTCTTCCGTGTCTTCTCACTCCGATCCACAGACAATCTAGCTCCTCTTCTGACCAGGTGGTCGGAGATTCAAACCTGTTGGAAAAGCTACCTCTGTTCCCCTTTGCCCCTCTTGCTCTCCTTAAAATGTTATCGAGCATCATCTTATGTCTTAAGAATGGCGACGTTTGATCTAAACAAGGTTGCAGTGCTAAATCGTGAAAGGTTTCATGAGGTTGGATGTTAACATTGGGCCACTGATACATGGGATTGAAAGCAACTGTTGGCTCCATTGGCAGGGATAAACCAAGAAAGAGCGAAGATCTTGTAATAGCGGGGGATTTGAGCTGGCTCAGGCTTTCTTCCGATCCCACAAGAGCAACGGCCTTGTGCTGTGTGTTTGCTGATGGTAACAAGTCATGGCTTCTATTCTCAGGGAACAACTGCAACAAATTCCTTATTGAAATGCAATGAAAATTGCAACACGGTCACCAACTTACTTTTTTGGCAGTGTTATCTCCAATCGCTGAGTTTTGCAGTCATTGGTCCCTACCAGACAGATTCCTTCCCTTTGACCGTTAACAAAGTCAATATTTTATCCAAAAAACGATTGTACCCTTACTGTGTTCTATCTATTACTTCAACCAAGGGCACAACCGTCTTTCCAGTAAAAAGTTGACATTTAAACAGCCAAATTGACGAGACCCTTAATTGGGGACCAATTACAAAACTAAAAGCTGAAGGACGATGCCGCCCAAAAAGATAGGTTGTGGACCAACATAGCAAGTTTTACATATGGTTTATAACTAACAAATATATCAGACGTTAAAGCATGTGTTTGGGAAGTGTTCATGAACAATTTAAATTATAAATAGATTGAAATGGGCGGTGAATAAATAGATAGTGCTTGTGGATCCCTCGAAATGTGTGGATAAAAAATGACTTGAATGTTTGTAAACATAAGATGAACACGGGCTAATATCACTAAAAAGCACCAATTATCACTAATAAATATAAGAATAATGCCATTCATCACCATCGATGTTAAGCACCAGCCTAAGTGACATTTTATGGCATTAAATGACATATTCATTTAAATGCAAAGTCACATGACTAATTTAATCAAACCTATAACATATAGCAACTTAGATTGGTGCTTTAGCACCAGCGATGCAAAATAGCGTTGAATAATAATGCTACAGACTCCAATTGTGCAAGTTACCTGAAGATAATTATTTTTTGATGCGATGTCCCTGAACTGTGGAGGATGATTTACAGAATCATTGCTTTTGTCCACGACTTTCACCAGAGAACCACCACTTTCTATTATCCTTGCTTCGTGAGTCAACATATTCTCCTTAATTTTCCCATTGAGAAGTTCTAAATTTTTGCTTTGAGGAAACACCTTATGAAAACAAGGTTCATCAGAACCAGAGTCCAGTGCTACATTGCAGTCAATATCACGAGCTGTACTATCATAGAAAAATTAATACGCGCAGATGCTTTGCAAAAATAACTGCATGAAATTGTAAAAACATTTGAACTAGGGACAGATCTACACAGAGTCCTGTCCTTACCAGGTGCAGCAACGGATAGGTCCCGAGATGCTTGAGAACATTTAATCCCTGACAATTCATCTGGCAATTCCGTGGTGTTCAAATCTTCATTTGATAAACTTTGAACAATCTTGTGCTCCAAATCTTCAGTGGGAGCATCTGATAAGTTTCTTGATGGATTTATGTGATGATTTTCTTGAACATCCCTGGCGATGTAACTATGAAAAGAAGTCGACTTAAGAGAATCCGAACTAAGTTGAACAATAGTAGATGAGGTGCCATTGGCTGTTTTATGCAGAGACTTCAATTGCTCGTCCGCTTGGATGCCACTGTTATAAATATTCAAGAATCAAATTATATAACCAAACAGTTAATTATTAACTATACAGATATGAAAGAAGGTTACATCTCAGTCTTTGGTGCTGATGCAGCAAGCTCAGTCTTAAAATCAGTTTCTCGACTATATACCTGTAATAGAATCAGAAATTGATTAGCTGTCACATAGAGCAAACTCCATGACTGGGTCACCTCATTAGAGGAAATGTAGGCGTCTATGTATATTTGTTCCAATTATGGTGCTGAACAGAAATATGAATGGTTGGTATTAACTTCAAAATCAAGAAAAATAACTAATGCCCAACTTGTGGACTTCTTATCGCAATTTTAAGCAGCAAAATTGTAATCTTTTCCCACTCGAACCTAATAACCAAGCCAGCACTCTTTTTCACAACCGATCTTTCTTTTTCCTTTTACTAAAATAAGAATTTTCATTTTACATTTTTAAATAATTAAAGAAAGCGCTCATATTTATATTATTAGCACTACAATTATATGCAGAACATTAATTATCTTTTGAATGCAGATCTTACAAATAGAGAATATTTAAGAAAATGGCTTCGGAAGAATTTCTTCTAAGAGTAATTATCTTACTATTAGTATCTTTTTATCTTACGGTGGCATGAAAATACCAATAATACTTGTCCCAGCTTCATGGGAAATGAAAAATGTTCCATTTCTTTCAATAATTAGTTATTTTAGCTTCTTATGATATGCAAAAATAATTGATGTAAAAAAAAAAGCTGCTTCAGAAAAGATGACATACTTCTTCTTCATTCCTAACAAAGGAATTCCTCCGTTGTATATCCTTCCCATTCTTCAGATCCTCCGAATGATCATTTGAACAGCTTTTAGCCGATGGTGTTTCAAATTTACAGGTGGAGACAGCAGATGCAAACATACATCCCTCTGTTGCCGATGAAGAACCCTTTCCAACTTTTATGTTGGATTTTGTATTTGGCCCAGTGGTATCCTTGTTCTGCTTGGGTCTTCGATGAAATGTAATTAGTGTTGAGGAAAACTTCCGTTTTGCGGTTGAATTGTTGCATATGCTACTGCATTTATCTTTACTAGCTAAGTTCAATTCTTCCAAAGTTAATTTTTCTGAAATAGCTGCATCCTTACTCTCATGGCTGCATTTTTTGGGGGGACTTCCTTCCAAAAGTACATTTTTTGAATGAAATCTTGTTTGTGTCACATCAGATTCTACAGAAAGGGTCTCGCCCTCCAGTCTGCTTGAGGAATACTCTTCCTTGATACAACCAGAGCAAAGCCTTTTCTCTTTTGAAGCATGCTTTAATTAAAAGGTCATGTATACAATTTCAATAATTCTCAAGAAAAGATTTCCTCAACAATCACAATTTCAGTGTACCTAAATATATAAAGAAAAGAAAGAGTGAGATACCTTTTGAGGATTAAGACATTCAACACGATACTGCCGATAGCAGCTTTGACACTGAAACATACTGTCACCAACTTTGTCTCTAAAGTATTCATGGCACATCTGCAAAAAGGTCAAAATTATGCCTACTCAATATAGTAAAAAATATCAGATTAAGAACAGGGCATGGAAAATTAGATGAATCCAGGTAATTTCAACAAAAAGTATGAGATATATTCAAAAAGCTGAGAAAAGCAGCACTGACTGCTCCCTGAATCATCATAACCATGAAAATAATGGGAGAGTTCATGCAATTTGTCAGCCTAGTTTTGTGCCTTATAAGAAAATTTCTTTGGTTGAAATAAACATGTCTCAGAGGTTATAGAATTATCTGCTACATTTAGGAGGGGCCATGATCTCAAATAGGGTTGGGCAAAACCCAATCCAAACCAAACCGATCGGTTTGGGTTGGGTTTTTAAGTTAAATTGGGTTGGGTTGGATCGGGTTGAAAAATTAAATTTGAGATTGGGTTGAGTTGTGTCTCGGGTTATGATTTAAAACCCAACCCAACCCGATGAATTAAAAAAATTAATATCTAAAATGAAAAAAAATATAAAAAACCTAAATAAACACAATAGTATAGATATGAGGACTTAATTTGATCATCCGTTTTATTTACATATATTAATTCACACGAACACTTTGTACAAATGAAATGTTATTTGATAGTAAAGTAAAAATTAGAAACATGATTATGAAATGAATAAATCTCAAAAAATTGTAAAAAAGAAAATGCTCCATAAATTTTAAACTTATTTATACATTATTTTTCATAAAGAATTCCTTATATAGATATTTGAAAAATAGAAGTTTTCAAATATTTTCAAACTTTAAAAATTTATCCAAATTCAACAAAAAATAATCGGATTAAAGTTAATTGGGCCAAAGCTCAAACCGACCAACCCAACCAAAATCGACCCACAATTGATCGGCTTGGGTTGGGTTGGGTTTAAACCATTAATTGGATTGGATTGGATTGGATTGGTTTGGTTTGATTTTAGATCAAATCGACTATGTTGGGTTGGGAAACAACCGACCCAATCCAACCGATGCCCACCCCTAGCCTTTCAAATTGCCCCTTTTCTCTTGTGGGCATTGTGTTGGCGTGGGGAGGGTGGCGGTTCATGCTCAAGAATACTAATTGTGGGTCCATCCAAACTCATGACAGAAAGATTTAATGCATAGATGGGATTATAGGCTTAACATTCTCGCTCCTACCATCAACAGGCAGATATTTTTTAAGAGCTGGGTCTAAGATACAGATTAAGCAATCACTCCATTATTTATAAGGGTTTCCTTCAATGTGAAAAATGTAAGGTCCATTCCACTTAAAAAGTAGTTTGTGAAAGATATGATTGGTTGTAGTGGTTGACACTTCCAATTTGGCAAAATATCACACTGACAAGACTGGAAAGGACGCCATTTAAGATATTGAGGTCACACGACAGGTGGAACTCAGCTTTTGAATAATTTTGTCATCATGAAATGAAAGCAACTGCTAAAACTATTAAACAAATACCACATTTGTGCGGTTCAAAGTTGTCAAAGCACACTTGACACAAACAATCATAACTCAAGACAGCATAAGGGCTAAATTATTCATTCACTTTTGGCTTTCACAATCCTTTATTCCAATCTAAGGGAGTCAGGACCAAAGTACCATGGACATATCATAGAGCTATTATCGAATCAATGCAACTTATAGATGAAATTATTTGTTGGGCCTGGCGAACAGAAAAGGCCCAAGCAAGCAAGAAAGTTCAGTAACTTAACGAGAACAGAGAAGAAACAACAAAGTTAGTTCTAATCCATTTCGGTTGTGACAAAAGTTAAACATATATCCAATGCACAGTATTCCATAGTTCATCAGGGAAGTCAATAAAAATTAAAGGGAGGGTTTCATCAGCAAGTTTATCAGTAATAATTTCCAAGTTCCAGGATTCAATTTCTCTTGAGTGATATTCAATAACTATAGTATTAAGTAAAACCACATGCAGCATGCTTGTGCTAGAAAACCATATTTCTAAAATACGTGATAAGTTTGCAGTACTTTATAAAATACGATAAAAATTCATTTGGCATCTCACCCCAGATTCTTTGTTCTGGTTCTCCAATCTATTTTCTCCACTTGGCTTTTCATACTTGTCCAAAGTAGTAGACGCTTTGGACTCTCGGCATTCCTCCTGTGTCTCAAAACACGCATTTTGATGAGAAACATCAAACCTAGAGGGTGGCCTCCTTCGCTTGTAAGTTAAAACCACTCTGCTCATCATATATATTCTGGAGGCTTCGACTCTCTATAAATAAGCATCAACAAATTTCTCAGACATTCTGTTTCGCATTGAAGGTATATTAATGGCTGCAAGTACCCCAAAAAAAAAAGGTTTTTATAACAGCAGAAGTTTCCGTATAACAAGATGCAAAACTGCTTAAGAAAACAAAATCTAATGCGCAAGAACTATAACTCACAAAATACTGAGGTCTATTTCAGAACATTGCAACAACGCATAATATTTCATTCTTATTGCAAACATGGCTCCGCTACAAGATGGTCTACAAAATCAATAAATTTGCAAACCAAGGTAAAAAGCGACTTCAAAGTTAATTACTGCCAGTTTTCCCTGTTTTCAGGGAGAAACCATGGAAGCTTACAGAAAATTAGCAACGCCTATAACGATCCTAGCCTACCAATTAGTACCAAAATTTAACTTAAGTTTCTCATATGTAGAGGTTTTGGGTTTAAGTCATGAGTAAGTAATAGAAATCCCCGAATGACGAGATGGGCAGAGATTCTCTCATAAGGGACAATACATATGATATAACGTCTTGGCATTGAGGCTCGGGTCATTACAAAACCTCCCCGTACAAAATTCATAGAGCATTTGTCTATCGAACTCCAACAATTTGGTCAAGAAATTATTTCCCTTTGCATTTCAAAGAAATATCATTAATCGGAAATAATAACATTATAAAAAAGCCCAAATTTATTCACAACCAGAACACATATCTTAAGTACAAGCACTTCACAAAATAAAAAGCCTACAATATAGGAAACCAAAATTCTTCGTCATATGCATGAACCCATATTGAAAATAGAAAAAGACACGACAAACTCGAAAAAAACCTACAATTAAGGAGTGAATTTAACAGTGTATTTTTCTAGAGAAAATGAAAGAGAAGAGATTCCTTTAAGCATAAACGTTACAAGAACCCTATAATTATTCAATACCATAACACGTCTTAAACAAGTAATGCACATAATAGAAAATCCATGCACAAGAAACACAATTCATCAACATAATCATTAACCCATAAAGAAAAAAATGAAGAAAAAAAATAACAAGAGCAAATTCATACCTTAATTTTACCAAACAACAATTAAATGTAAATATAGAGCAATACACAAACGTATAGAAAGAAGAAAAACATTAGAGTAGAAAGTACTGTAAAGATAGACATGAGAGAGAAAGAAATACATAACAAAATATACAGAAGAAACTTCATAATCCTAAGCCCATAAGGATAAAATGGAGAAAAAACAGTAACAGAAAAAACCCATATCAAAAAGAGGCAAATTCATACCTTAAGTTTACCAAACACAATAACGAGAAAAATATACAGCTACACAAAATGGAGCGTTTACAAAGGAGAAAGTACTGTGTATATTCTAGATTAGAGTCATGAGAGAGAGAAAAGAGAGACATACAGGATACAGACTTTGAATATGCATCGAAAGTGGGAAAAAGACTCGACTGATGCAATTTATGCATAGAACGAAAGGAAAGGCGCCCGGGTGTGTGCGTATTCATTGTAGTGTCACGTCGTAATCCGGCATACATTTGGATAGTGGGCTCCACAAGGTGTTCTTTTGCTTCGATTTTCGCACAAGTTTGGACCATGTAGTGCACATGTGAACCGAATGCAGGACTGTACTGCAAAGCAATGCAAAGCTGTCGTCTGGGTAACGCAGAAAAAACCATGTCTTGGATTTTTGATTATATATCACCCTTTTGGCCTCATTTTTTTAAATTAAAATACGTGGCATAGTATTTTTATTTAAAAATAAATAATTGAGAAAGGAATTTTTTTCTTTTGCTTCGATTTTCGCACAAGTTTGGACCATGTAGTGCACATGTGAACCGAATGCAGGACTGTACTGCAAAGCAATGCAAAGCTGTCGTCTGGGTAACGCAGAAAAAATCATGTCTTGGATTTCACCCTTTTGGCCTCATTTTTTTAAATTAAAATACGTGGCATAGTATTTTTATTTAAAAATAAATAATTGAGAAAGGAATTTTTTTTTTATAAAAATAAGACAGAGAATAATGAAATTTAATTTAAAATATCTTTTCTTCTTTTTTTCTTTCAAATTTAGCCCTTGTTTGATTTTCATTACAATACATTACATTACATTTTATTTTTCTCTCTCCTATTTTCAACCAAACAATCTTCCATAAAATAATATTACACGTAAATCGAAAATTTTTCTTTCTTT